TGTCTCTTGGATGAACTGAACTTGAACCTGGGGAGCTGCTTTCTACAAAACCCAGACCCAAAGGAACCCTAGTTACATGTGGCTTTATTTTTATACTTTCTTTTCCTTAAGAATATAAAAAGGCAACAATTCTGGCAACCTCTGTTGGTCATGGCCATTTGCACCCTAGATCCCAAGAGCCTGAGTGGACACACATCCCCCTGACTTTGGAGGGAAATGGGAATGGCTAGTGCTTTCCTTGTGGCTGCTCCTTTGCTGTCCCCTGCACCAATCTTCTCCTACACTGCCGTGTAAATTAATTTGTGAGCAAATCAAGAAACTAACAGAAGACCTGTGAGCCATTTCATAGAAAACACAGCTGGCTCAGAGGACTCAGTGTCTGTGATGCCACTTTGCTAAGACCTGTGTGAGCATGTGTGTGTGATAGTCAGGGAGGACTGTGTTTTGCTGCATCAACAAGCAAACCCAAAGTCTCGGGAGTGTGTGCAGTGGGTGTATTTATTGCTTTTATGACATGCCCACCATGGACTGGAGGGGCCCTGTATTCTGTCCAGGACTGAGGACAACAGAGCTCCTCGCAAGGAATCAGCCATAATCACCATGAGGGAAGGGGAATGGGTCCCTTTACTAGGGCTATTGTGAGTTTCCTTGCTTCTTCTAGCCACTGAAACATAAAAAATTTAATTTTTTAAATTTTGCACTCCTGAAGCCTAATCATCTCCTCAAGCTCCTTCCTGATGTGACAGGAAACCTGAAGCCATTTCACAGGTCTAGCATGTTCATGGAGGTCTTCCTGACCTGGGAGCACATCTGGGGCAGCAGGGACAAGGGCAGACACAAACAAAGCAGATGTTAAAATGTGGTTCTGAAGGCGTGCAACTAAAATGAGAAAGCACAGGCGAACTGGCCAGCTGAGCACCCAGGAAACCTACCATCTCTGGCTCCAAGCACTGAAGGAGGAGCAGCGTTGGTTGCAGAGGCCTCCGACCAATCTCAGTGCCACACGCTCCTAAAAACCCCGGAAACCGCCGGCAAAAAAGCAAACCCAAAAAAAAAGGAAGCAACGCAAAAGGCAACCGCCCCCCAACAACCAAGGAACGAACCCTGGTAAAGAAAGCCGCAAAAACGAAGCCCCCCTGTCCATCCAGGAGCAGAGGGAGGACGCGGGCTGAGGGCTGGACAGGTATTAAGTCAGACATGGACGCAGCAGAGATGTTGGGACATCAGGGATGAAACTGGCCCTGTCGTGTCTCCAGACAAATCACTGCCTTTGGGTTCCCTGTCTAGATCCCAAGGGAAAAGAAAACTTCTCCTACCTTTTCCCCCAGCAGGAAGTCACCTGGGGGCCAGGCAGCGGGGCCAGCGCTCAGAGACACCTGCCAGAGGGTGTGCTCAGGGAGGGCACCCAGGCATGGAGGGAGACGCTCCTGGACACCAAGCTCGCAAGAGATGCATGCGACTTTGAAGAGGATTGGCATGAGTCCCCGATGCACAGAGGGTCACCCACCCTGGCTCTCTGGACCCAAGGAGGGATCCTCCTTGCCTTCGGGCACCAGGGAACGATCATGTCACCATTATGGCTTTTGAGTCTACCCTCCCAGTGAGAAATGCGCACCTTCCTGGAAAGGGTCTCCGTGGTGCAGGACACAGTCTGGGAAAGCTTAGGTGACATGGAGTTAGCTGGCATCAGCCAACCCAGGCAGGTGGGGACCCACCGGGTGAGGAGGCTCCTCTGTAAGCCCCGACCTCCTGAGCTCAGGGCCCCAGGAACACAGCAGAAGAGGGCAGGCACTGGGGTCCTCCTCTGCACCTGACCTTCCTACCTCCCCCTGTGGTCTACCTCCAGCAGAGTCCACCCTTTCCTCACACTGTCCTTCTTAGCCCACGTCTGGTGGCCATTTGTGCCATCTGATAGAAGATCTCAGCCCTCCAGGGAGCTTCTCGGGATCGGTGTCCTGGCTTCCCCTGTAGCTGGGTGGTGCCCAGATCTGAGGGATCACACCCAACCCAAAAGGCTGCCAGGGAGATTCTAGAGAAGAGCTTCAGGCAACAAGGAAGCCAGCAGTCCCCACTCCCCCACCATTTCTTTTCTGGGTGTGACTCACATGTTCAGATGTGATGCTTGGAACCTCTCCAGCTCCTTTGTGACCATTAGGCAACCTTCATGAAGATGAAGAACCATCCAGGAGGGCTGACAGAGAGAACTAGGGGAGACGCTGATCATGATATGAGTGGAATTTTATTTTTCTTTCCTTTTTTCTTTTTAACTAGACAAATAATTCCTGTTTATTGGTAAACCTTAGGAAACACTAAAAACAAAAGAGAGAGAAATAAAACCGTCATCCCCAGGACTCAGGCCATGTGTGCTTCTTGTTTCTCTCTTAGTGCTGTAGGTTTTGCTGATTATTAATTCTCTCCCTGCACAGGACACAAACACCTTAGCTCTCTGTCTCCCTGCCCTCCCTTCTCCAAACAGAAGCGGTCAGCTCTGGGTGACCTCATGAGCTTGCTCCTAAACCCAGTCCTGGGGCTGCCTCCTGCAAGGGGCCTGTGTTACCAGCTTTCTGACACTTGGACACATACCCTAAGTTCATCAGCCTGGGAAAGATCCATCTTGGCTTGCAGTGTTGGAGGTCGCTGTCCCTGACTGGCTAGCCTGCTGCTTTGGGACTGCATTGAGGTGGCAGGTCACCCTTGAGAGCATGTGGCCAAGCAAAGCAGCTGATCTCCAGGCCAGAAAGTGAGGGAGAGAGGAGGGGCTGGGGGTAGCTCCCCCTTCCCAGCACATCCCTGCCTCCCGCCCCCTCTTCTCAGAGGGTCAGAGCCTCCCATGCTAAGAACCATGCCTGCTGCGAGGACCTTTGGGACCTCCCAGGTGTGCACCAGGCCATGCTGTTTTCCTGCGGACGTGGGCCACCCCGGTTTCCACAGCAGAGTGGGCCAGGTGTTTCCTGGAGCGTTGGAGGAGATGCTGTCACAAGGGGGAAAAGCTCTGTTTGCTCCTCGTGGGAGTTTCAAGCCCTCTCTTTGGAGGCTTGGGGGCCTAGGAGACAGCAGTTCAAGACCAAGACAATCTCCTCACAATAGCAGAGGAAGCTTCAGGAGGGTGGAAGTCACGGGTGCACTAAGAGGTGGCCCCCATAGTCACTGCAGAGTCAGGGCCTCTCCAGGGACCCACACTGGCCATCAAGGGACACAAAGGACACAGGCTGTGGGCTGAGAGGGCCTTGCCAGACATGGCGGATGCTGAGTGAGTGTTTTGGAGGGTCTGGGGGTTCACCCGCGCAGTGGGAGGTGTGGTTGGAAAAGCAAATAGTGAGGAAAGCCAGGGGTATGAACAACTGTCTCTAAACTGCTTTGATGTCAACAAACTTAAAAACACACATTGCTCAAATAAGACTCCTGATCCTTTGCAGAAGGCACCGCTTTAAAAAATGCAGCCACGCCTGACAAAATCCGAAGGGTGCTTTTGTGAGATTTCCAATGCTTAAGTGTGTGCACGGCTGAATTTCTAGGTATGTATATCAGGGCTTGGTGCAGAAGGAGCCTGATTCCCTGACACATGCCTCCATGCACTCAGAGCCTGGAGACACAGGGCCAGGGTGCTTCTGGGTTCCTAGTGGGATGGCTCTGTCTTCAGACTGGTCTGAGCCAGTGACAAACAAAATCAGCACCAACGCATGCTCCTCTTCAAAACAAGTGATCCTCGAGTGGCTGCAGTTAGCTCCTCATTATTACAAGCAATGCTGTCCTCTCCCTCTCCAATATGTGCACACGTTGTGATTATTGTTTAGGAAATCATAGATCAGGACGAGCATTGGGTCAAGTGTCAATCAAGATGAGCAGGTTCTCCCAAGATGGGGCAGGAGATCCTGAGGAGCACAGACTCTGGCCTGGCGTGACCACCTGTACAGACAGGAGCTGGTTCCTTCTCTCTCTCCATGTCAACGTCACTTTCTGGAGTACAAAGACAACAGGGGAAAACCTCGATGGATAAGTGGACCATGGTCAGAACAGGTGTGACATTACAATGTGGACCCACCACATCCCTAATAACCAATCCAACGGGGGAACTCTGCAGCCAGTAGCTGGGGCAGTCAGGACTTGGACAGCAGCTCTGAGCGTCTCCATTGGCACTCCTCTGCCTGCCCAGGTCCAGTAAGAGACAGCCAATGGTCTGCCCCCCAACCAAAGCACTTGGGGCTATCCAGAGCTGCCCTTCCCCCACTGTGTGTCTTCCCCACCACCCACCTGCCTTGGAGATGGCCAAATGCAAAAGGGTAGCCAAAGCCTTGTTTAGTAGCCAGTGCTGCTCTCACTGGGAACATCTTCATTTATCCATACAGGAATAGCATCACTTTATCATGCTGCTACGGGCTTTGATTAGGGCACTGAGCTGTGCTTTGTGGACACCTTAGCTTTCTGCCCAGTATTGTCAGGCCCTCCTGAACCTGGAACCTATACCATAGCCACAGAGACATAGAGCGACCTCTCTGCACTTGCTCTTCCTTGACAATGAGCAGAGAGCTGAGTTCCTGCTTGCCAGAGGACCCCAGAGCTTCATTCCTGAACACACATGCACTCTCCTGGAGATACTTTACTCTGTACCTACAGCACTGGTTCGAATCCTGGGCTTGCAGGGAAGTTGCCCAGATGGTCTGTTGTTTATCGATGTGGAGAGAGGGTGTGCATGCTGGTGGGACTCACAGGGGGAGTGAGGGGCTCTCTGAGGACTCTGGCTATTGTTATTTGATTTTCCTCAGGAATCAGCCAGGCTGAAGATACTGCTCTGCATGTACAAAAATAGATTTCGCCAAATGGATGTGTTGGCCCAAGAGATGATAAATTGCCTTTCTCCCCACTGTGCAAATCAGGAATGGAAATAGATGAAGCAAGTGCAGAGCAATGTTATGGCAGAGGGGACTGGATTTCCGGAGGAGGCTCACTGTGGAGATGAAGAGGCGGCTGGGGTCAGGGGTGCCCCCTAGTCTGGGCACAGAGATAAGCAGGTCCTGGGTGACTATGATCGCCCAAACCTGCATTTATATTGACTTTCATGTTCTTCAATATATTCACAGTCCTGCAATTTTAAATGGAAATAAAATCAACTGAGCAGGTCCCAGGGAATCCCTGGAAAGCCAAGGGAGAGAAATGTTCCTCCTCTTTAACAACAAACAACAAACTAAAAATACATTCTTAAAGCATTTATTAGAAATTCCTGCACAAGGTAGATGTCTGCCGGGTTTTGATGAGCACAGTATTGTATAAATGCCTACCTAATCCCAGCCCAGAGCCAGGGCCTGCTGACCCAAACAAATGGAGGAGTCCCCTCCAGACAGAGTCCAGCTCATGTCCCACAGCACCTGGCTATCCAAGGCCTCAGGGAGGGGGAGTTGTTAGAATGTTGGCCACGGTCATAACATCCCTTAGAGATACAGAGCCGTCTTGTTCACAGCTAGTTTCTTGGAACTGATGGGGGAAAATGTCAGGAAGAGGTAGGTGAACTGGCTGAAGGCTGCGTCAACAACTGGACACAAAGGTTCTTCCTGGTTTAGGGACCAAAGCTTGTTTCCATTTGCTCTGCTTTTGGTCTTTAGAATAATAAGGGTAAAACTATCTGCTATAACAAGCAAGCCCCCAACATACAATGGTTCAAAGACCATCACTGTGAATTCCAGAGCCAATGCTTCTGACTAGTGAGCAGCTCTCCTGCGGGGCATGATCCAGGGCCTGCCTTCTGCACCTTCCACCTGCAGCTTTGAGCTTGGGTGCAGCTGGGTGGGCATCCAGCAGGAGAAACCTCTGTAGAGGGTGCAGGGTTGGTTATGAGAGGTTGGCACAGGTGGGGATGGGAGAGCGGGGCTCCCCAGCTGCTCACCTGACATTGGCTAGGAGTTGGTCACATGGCTCAGCAAGTATACGGAGGCTGAGAATAAAATATGACCCAACAAGGAGAGGAAGCTGATCAGCCAGTGAGGATCCAGTCTCCCTTGAGTCTTTAAGAACCCACCCAGGACAAGAGTTGACAAATACCCAGGAGCCAGGGGGAAGCACAAACTCCCACTGCCTGGTTCTCCCAAAAGAAAGTGATTTGAAGACATAGTAGAAAGACCATTCATCGTAATTTTCAAAATGAAATGCTCCAAGTGACAGAAGACCTAAATAGCACAAAGTGAGTATCAATATAAAAGGTAAAATAACCTCTCTTCTCCCCAAGGTGGAAGAGAAAGGTATAGAGTATTTGCACACACACAGAAAAAGAAATAGCATGTTATAATCGGCGATAGGATATTCCAGAGGGAACTTTTTATTTGTATTTCCTAAGCACCGACATGAGCAGACCCAGCTGGCCAATCCACACAAAGCCCTTTGCTCCCTATAGGCACAGAGTGTGTGGAGAAAGCAAGAGCCTCAGTGTCTGGCTGGCGCGTGGGGAGCTCACAGAAGTATTTGCTGGGCCAGGCGACTAATGTGTAAGACAGCGGAGCAGGGAGCACACTGGGCTGGGCTCGGCCATCACTACACCTGCAGCACCCCTGCAGTGACTCACCTGCAGCAAGCCTGAGGCTGAGCTGTGGTTACCCCTGCCTCACAGATGAGGAAAGCCTATGGAGATGTGATAGTTCTTCCTCACCAGGGAGAGGTTTGCATAAAATGGCCTCAGGCCCTGTGAGGGACTGGCTTGATGCTAAAGCTGTGAGAGGGAAGCAGGCAGGATTCTCCTTCTTGGTTGAGCCACAGGGGTCACAGAGGTAACAGCAGAGAAAGATGAGGGACGACCTTGCCTGGGAACCTGTGTTCTAGCACTGGCCTGAGCTCCTTGCTACCATGGTGAGGCTTCAGCAGACCAAGGGAAGTGTGAAGGTGGGAGGAGCAGCAGGGAAAGGGGGCAGGCGGGGCTCCAGGGGCCAGAACCCTGGGGCAGGAGCCTGTGTGTCCTGAGACCACAGAGGCGCTGAGGCACAGAGGGGGCGGCTCTCTTCAGGTGTTTGGGAGTCTCTCCCGGGATCCACCATTGTGTCCATCAGAGTCCAGAGACGCCATCTTCATGCCAGTAGAGGCTCTCACCAAATATTGGACAATTCTCCATTCCCAAGACAGGATGCTGTGGGAGGGAGGCATGGAAAGCCTCTGCCTGGCTTCCTTGTACAGCCAGAGGGGCTCTGGATTCCAACAGATGCCCACCTACTCACCCCACAGCCTGGAGACAGCTATTTAGCATGCACCCATTTGCAACCCTGGGATAAACATTTAGATTTTTAGAATCAGCTTCATCCTTTGTAAAAGTGAAACAGCAATATTGCTTCCCTCAAGGTCTAGATGTGTGTGTGTGTGTGTGTGTGTGTGTGTGTGTGAGGGTGTGTGTGCACGTGTGTGACTTAGATCTAAGCATGAGCACGTTGCCCATCTGAGGCACAATGCAGGTGCCCTCCAGCAAACACTGACCTCTCCTTATTAATGGGGTTCCTGCTTGCCAGCAGATTGTCCTTCTCTTCATGTGCTTGCCTTCCTCATGGCTTAAGCATCATGGGCTTGGAAACGGCTGACATTTCTCCATGTTTTAGGAAATATTGTCTCCTTGGCAATCTTCCATTTGGACAAGCAGTAACAGTGTCTCTGATTAGAACTGCCTATAATGCAACAACAAATATTGGTCTCCGCTTTATTTCCTAAAATCCATCCACATGTGCATGAGCGGTGCTGAGTGCCCTCCCTGTGGTTTGTCCCAGCCACTGTCAGGTTTGCATCCTCCTGCCACCCCTGTCTCTCCCCACCCCTCCCCCACTCTGCTGACTCTCACGCCACTTCACTCTCTCGCCACTCTTCCTGGTCTTCTCTCCCCAGCTTGATCAGGCAGCAAATGGAAACATGCAACTCTTTGTATAAAAATCAGGAAGAAAACTGAAGTCAAAATTACAAAACCTAAAGCTATTTCCTTTAAAAACATGTTATCTAGGAAAAGGTCATGTGTCATAATTTTATACAATACCATAGATAATACTTGATAATGTGATATCTGGACTGGTCATACATTTTTCTGGCTTGCTTTTCTGGAAATTCATTGTTAGATAATAAAAATGTATATTGTTTCATGTTTCCAATAGTTATAAATGAAAACGATGTCAGTTGCTCTTGGCAAGTGCAAATTAATTTTGATAGTTTTTAATTTTGAGAAGGATTTTTTTTGCTGATGCAACTATTACTGGAGTTATTTAGAGTATTATAAAGGCTGCAATAAACTTGGGATAAATTTCTGATATTGTGAAATATGTGTCTTAGCACATTGTGAGGCGATGATACATGCAGAACGACTTTTCCAAAAATATTAACTTTTCATAAATCAGTTTTGTGTATATCTCAGTTTAATTGTACATGTGAATTCGCACGAAGGCATTTCAGCATCCTAAGCTCATCGAGGTCTTAGAAGAAATGCAAAGTGACTTCCTGCTTTGTTTATAATTCAAATATGTTCCACAGCTCCAACTTCAGTTTAGTTCTTAATTGTATTCTGGCTAATCATTGGTTTGTTAGAAGCATCATAAAAATAGCATCATTTTTTCACTGAATGCAGAGATCTGTACATTTAAATTCTGCATCTGAACCTGTGGATATTTGCTTTGCAACATGGTGACAGTTTTCAAAACCTGAGATTGTAATTTAGAAGAAGGCTCTAGCTCTGAGATTATGTATTATTAAGTTGGCCACGTGAAGGTCTTTATTTGGTCGTAACTTGCTGACAAGTTTCAGTCTCTGTTAGGAAGTCACAGCCATGGGCTCCAGGGTCTCAGCGGCTAGCTGGATCCCACCTTAGAGGTTCAGGGCCTCCCAGGTCATCTGGAAAGGTGCAGGAGGAACATAAGGGCACGGGGTACTGGCCACAGTTGTGTTCATGGATATGTATAACACAGAAATGGACCTACTGGCTCCGCTTCTATAGTGGAATCATGGAAAATTAAAAAAAGACCCCTTACTGCTGTGTCTTTGGATTTGTATCACGAGTATCACATACCGAGTTCTAATCCACAGGTGTGTGTGCACGTGGGTGTGAGTGTGTGCGTGTGTCTTCCTGAATGTGCACAGGTCAGGATTCTTAGTCTAGCCCAACTCTGTCGAACTGCTGAAGGCATCATCTCATGAGCGCTGGGGCTACCAAGCAGTTCAGGCTGATTCCTGTGCTCCTCAGCCCCTTCCGTCTTCTCCACAGACTAGGCTCTAACTTTCAGAGGCTTAAGAAGAACTGAGGTGGGGGGTTGCTAGCTCTCAGTGTCTGCTGCTCAGCTCTGGTGCCCACAAGATGGAGTGATCTGTCTGAACCTCAGCCCTCCTGACCTCCCTAGAGCTATTCACTTTGCCTTCTAGTCCTCTCCCCTGTCCCAGCCATAAGGTGACCCAGTCCTTGATCTCCCTCTGAGACCAACCTGGTTGACCAGCTGTCCAGGGTATCCATCATCCTCAATCACAAAGGACAGTATGGCTGCCCCTCACAGGAGGAGAAGGGCAGGGATTATGTCCCCAGCCCCTTGCAGAAGATGTGCATGACCCTACCCCCTCTTCAATGCCAGGGTGACACAGTGTCTGATGTACACACAGCTGCAGAGGCAGAGGGCTCAGGGCTTCCAATCTGGACTCTCCAATGCCGTCCCGTCCACCACCCCAGGAAGCAAATGGGCAAAGCCCACCTTCTTCTCCTTCTGAGATGACACCCACTGCCCCACGCACACAGGATCTTTGTGGAATCTAGATTCTGAGTGAGCTTGGAAAAAACCCATTGCTTTTTACCTATTGTTTAGATGAAAACTTGAAAGTTTGAAGAGGCTCACATTCTTACAATTGATATCACTTTTTCTTTCAGGAGCTTGGGCCTCTGTTGGAGTTTCAACATTTGAGTTTTAATCAAATCTGAGCCGGGTCCTGGCTCATTTGCTTTGTGTTTGAATGATCACTGTGTGACAGTCCAGGGCAGTGAGCCCGAGCGTCCCGGCTGTTTGGGTTGGAGAAGGGCAATAAGTTGCAAGAAGGGACAGAACACAGCAGGCCCTCCTTGGTATTCTGCAGTGACCTCTGTGTCTGCGCACAGACCGCCAGCTCACCTGGGGCTTCCCTGCTTGCCCAGCAGGCCCAGGGCCAGTGCGGAGATCCCTGCTCTGTGCAGGGCTGGCTGCAGTGTGACTCGCCCCTGGCAAAAGCAAAGAGATGAAGGGGTGAGATGCCAACCACCCAGGGAAAGCCAAGATGCTCCAGGGAATGGACCAGACAGAATTAAATAATCCTTTCCTTACCCAGCACACATAATATCCATTTTCACATTTACTTCAAGCAAAGGAATTTAAGTAAATTTTCAGTGAAAGTTTAACCAACTCATCAAAATATATGAAAGGCATAGAAATGGAGAATTGGTGCCTCCCACAATCGGTTGATCTCTACATCCAGGACTGACAGGAAGCCGGGTCCCGTCTCGTGCCCTGGCTCTTGAGCCCACAAAGAGCCCTTTACGGTTTGAACCTAGTTTTCATGTCTGTTAAAATAAGGAAAGGTCCAGCCAGCGGTCAGCAGAGCTGGGGAGCAGACTCCAGTCAGGGAGGAGGCGGCTCTGGGAGCTGGGGTGTGGTGTCTCGCCAGCAGGGGGCAGTGTGAGGGCAGTGCCTCTTCAGCCCAAGCCCAGGAGCACAGAGTTTCCCTGCAGGCTGCCCTCCCAGAGGGTGGCCCTGTCACAGGGCCTCCTGTGGGTTATTTCTTGTTGTTTACCCTCAGATTGCAGTTGTGGTGTCTTGTTTTCTAAAGTGCCATTTGCTCGTTTGCTCTGTGCTTTCTTGTGCTAAACTTCATGGCCGATGTGGGAACATTGAGTCCATCTGGTTGGAAGCAGGTGAAATGTATGTGGTGAGAAGTCAGCTTTGGTCCTCCAGAGGCCTGGCTGATTTCCAAGGACCATGGCCCTTCCTCCTGAGCCCCAGCATCTCTGTTCTGCACCAGCCTCCTGCATAAGCTCAGAGGTGTCTCACAGCCGAGTTCTCCTCAACAGCTCTGGAGAGAGATGGGCACTGGAGAGATTGACAGTAGATAAGCAGATAGATGATAGGTAGATGGTGGATGATAAATGATAGATGATAGACAGATGGGTGATAGATGATAGTGAGATAGGTAGATGGGTGGTAGGGGATAGAGAGATGATTGATAGATGGTAGATAAGGTAGATGGTAGATGATAGATGATAGATAAGTGATAAATGATAGATGGTACGTGATAGATATAGATGGTAGATGAGAGATGGTAGATGATAGATAGATAGTGGGCACAATTCGGCTTAATCTACTCTAACTTGACATTTTATGTAATTGGTTAATCTTTTCAACCCCTCAAATTATTTTTCACATTTAAATTTTTTCTCAGATTTTCTTGCTTTTTTTTTAAAGCATAAACAACTCATTACATACAAGTACCATATTACAAGTACCATATTAAAAACTAGAGTAATTAACACCCCCACTCATTGGAAGGCACTGTTGTTCATGGATGGGAACCTTGCCTTGCACAGTCCTAGTGAATGTTGGGCTCTCATGGTGCGCCCAGGGCCGCAGCCCCACTGGGTCCTCATGAGTGGGCACCCTGGTGACCCTGGTGAAGTCAGGGGATATTCTCACCTTTAATTTCATTCCAAAGGAAATTTTGAAATTCTTCATCCCAGTTCGATAAATAAGCTACTAGAATGGTGCTGGGCTGCTTGAATGCACGGTCAGTGCGGGGAGATGGGACTTCTCTGTGCTTTGCATCCGCCCAGGGGCAGTACACTGTCATGTTCCTCGTGACAAAAACACTCAGGGTCACTCCAGGAGAGCTAGGCTGTGGGAAATAACCACATAAGAGACAGAGCTGGTGTTGCCAAATACAATTCTGGGAAGCCCTTGGAGGGGAGAAGCGTTGGCTGCTAAGCAAGTCGTCGGCATGAGATGAGTTCAGTTAGAGATATTCACACAGATGATGTGGGTCCCAAGGAGTGAGGGACAGGTGGGGCCTGGGGAGGGTGTCTCTTTTAATGGTAAAACCCCGACTTTCTAACATGTGATACCCAGTTCCAGCAGCAGTTGGATTTTACACTCAGCATCCGTGTGGTCGAAGAAATTAGAACATTTAAACTGGGATTGAGGAAAAGATGTTGCGCTTGTAGGTCAGTCCTTTGTTTAACAAGAGGTACGCAGCTTGGCATCCCAAGGTCAGTATCCTGAGAAATCCCAAGGCCCACAGCTCGCTGGGTTCTGCCAGTGTCTTCTGTAAAGGGGCCGAGAGTAAATACCTGAGGATTTGCAAGCCAGGCACTTCCATGGCACCCAGCCTGCCCTGCACAGCACAGGGTGGTGGATGGTCCCCAAATGCTGTGCCTACCCAGCAGCCAGATGCTACCCCACACGGAACTGTGGCCCATGGACCCTGAGGTAGGGAACAGCCATCCATTGTTATCTGTCAATTCAGCATCTTTTACAAATACATCTGGGAAAGAGAAAGGAATGCCACCTCTCTTCCCTACTCCCAGGGAGAGACGGGAGAACAATCAAATCACCTTAGCAATTTAGTAAGAACCCGCTGGGAGTCGTTTTCCAAACTCAGGTCCTGATGGTCAGCGGAGAGCATGGCTGAGCTGCAGGCAGAGGAGTTACCTCTGCTGCAGTCAGGAGCGGGGAACATTTCAACTCAGAGCCAGCATCACAACTCCAGATGGGATTTCCAGAGGAGACCCCAAGGGGAGGGCTCCTCAGGGCAATGAGGATGTGGCTTGCCACACAGGTGCTGGTGACCCTCATGGGGTTCAGAAGGCTGGAGCTGCCCCATCCAGGTGCCAGCAGGCCCAGGTCCTGTCAGCTGGGACAGAGACACCTACCAGGTGGTGCTCCTGGTCTGTAGGCCCATGACTCCATGCTCTCCTCCAACCCCACAGGGCCCTCCTCTGTCTCTGAGTCTCTTCTATTCTTTTTTAGGTTCAATTAGCACATAATAATTCTACATACGTGTGGGTACAGTGTGATAATTCGATGCATTTATAGTCTACAATATGTAATGCAAATCAGTGAAGCTGGAATTTCCATCTCTTTAAATAATTTTGCATTCTCTGACATTTAAAAGAATAGTCACAGTATTTACGTCCATAGTGTGCTTCAAATCAGAATGCTTTTTGAGGATAACTCAGAAATGACATTTGCTTATTTGTACTTTTAGGTTTTGTGGCTTATTTGGGTGATGCATAATTCATGGCAGAAATCATTTGGCTCCACAGAAAGTAATCTAGTTTATCCCTTCCAACGCCACTTCCAGCACACACGTGGCCAGCTGTGTGGAACAGGGCTGGGGTGCAGATGTGTGTAGAGCACGAGAGAAAGCGGGACGGGACCTCAATGTGATGCTCTTCGAGTGTTTCCATTAATCATTTTTTTCATTGTGGGAGATTCCTGATTCATATGCTCTAGATGACACTCCTTAGTCACAAGCAAATTGAGACACTGACATCACTGGCCACAGGAGAAAGGGGATCAGGATGTCTTTCTCATACTGAAATCTTTATGCTGGTCATAGCGTAAACTGTGGAGTACATGGTGTCCTGTTACCCAAGTGACAGCTCTTGGAACTGTACTTCAAGTCTCCTGGAGTCAGTCACAGACAGGGAAACCTGCATCTCCAAAGCTGCAGCCTGATGGACAGCCCTCTGGGTCCAGCAGTGCCCAGCATGTGGACAGGGCCCAACACCCAAATGTTTCACAAAATCAGAGTTTGGAAGACTCCCCTATGCTGACATGTTCCTGAGCCCCAAATGATCCCCCAAGAAGCCCGGTCTGTCAAACCCCCACTGGCCATAGTCACTGAGTTGCTTAGAGAGGGGTGCCAATGGGTGGTGACGCAGGTTCCTGCTTTTTTCCTAGGTTGAAAGGCATTTGATGACCAAGGTATGTCTTTGCCTCCTAATTCTTGCTGCCATCCGGTAGGGAATGTTACATCCCAGGAGAATGGCAGAGAAGCGGTTTGGTTGGGGATGGAAGGGAAGAAATCTGTGCTATTGGGTGCTGCATTAAGCACCCCCTGCTCTGAGCACAGTAGGGCTCTACAAACCCTGGGCTTGGGCTGTCGGTGGGTGGTCCTCAGCTCAGTGTCACCAGGGAAGGCCTTTAACTATCTGAAGCCAGGCTGGAGTGTGGCTCAGTGAGAGTACTCACCTAGCTTGCACGTGGCCCTGGATTCCTGGGCCCTGGGAAAAAAAATTATTTGAAACCAAGGCCTTCCCTCCAGTGGGCCTCCATCATCCATCTAAGCCAGAAGCAGAGCAGGGTAATTATCACACTCCCCAAAATGGTCCATCCACAAGTATTTGCACTCCAAGTGCAACAGGTACCACATTTATTTTACTTCTTCAATACAACCCAGTCTGGCTCAGCATCACAACACCGGCTGGCAGGAAGAACAGTCTGACCTTTGGGAGGGTTTCCTCCCTGCTACAGAAAGATTGTGATGGCCCTGGGGTCAAGAACGGCTTCTGAAAGAGGACGCTCTGCATGCTCAGGTGACATGGTGGACAATATAGCCACCAGTTCACTTAACAGAAGGGAGAGCGAGACATCATCGCAAGGCCCTCTCAGGAAGGAATGTGGGCTGTGACTTTCTGTCAACTATCCTTTCCTCTGGACATAATTAAGAGACTGGTTTCTAAAGAAGCAAAGCTGGGTTTTCCCAGAGAGAAAGAGTCCTGGTGCCCAGCTGGGGAGAGG